CGGCTTTCCAGACAGTATTTCTAATGTCAAGGTGCCCTAGGACACTTTTTTCACTACTTTGTATATATGAAATTGTAGCGTAGGGAATTCTCTATCGAATAGTATATGTATCGTCGTGGCTAGTGGACAAGTGTGGAGCACGGAATCCTCACCGTTGAAGAAAGAAGAGTAGAACTTTGGTTTCAGTAAATTCGACCTAGTTTTTTCTGAGAGCATTTCTAAGGTCTGCGAAGTGGCTAGAAATGTTCTCCTGTTCATTCTGCATCTAACGATGTATGTGTCGATGGAATTCAAGCAGGGGCCGATTTCATCAAGTAATCGCCCCCGTCCTTTTGCAGCCGTTCCACTGATCGATATCTGTCTTTTAATATAAATGTCACCCCTGATGCTCCATTTACAATTCTTTCTTGACCTGTTTTCATCTGATTTCTCAATGTTGTCTTTATACTGATCCCAGTCCTCATTATCGTTAATATGGCAATAAGACGTATAATAGACATCTAAAATTACTTGAAAAAATACATTTAAAATTGCGTTTACTACTCTGTACTTTTAATTTCTTTATTTTTAGTTTATATGACTAATTACAAAAACAGATGCTATCGAAAGCGACGCTGGCGTCGCAAAATTCAGAGAGCTGCGAGGCAGTTACGTGAGATCGATGAAAAGATCCTTCGGATCAAGAGGGAAAATACGGCCAAAAGGGCCCGCGCTCGGACTCATCAAAATGTGGTAGAGACGATGTGGCGGAGTATCTTGGCCACTACCGGTGTCCATATCAAAGAAGAACCTATAGAGGTTGTATTTTTGTACGAGGTAATGTATTGAAGGTATATAAAATGAAGAATGTAAAATGTTTTGACTAATTTTTTATTTTCAGTGATGATACAATATCATCCTCCACCTCCCTCGAAAAAAAAAAGTTATGTGTTATTATTTTTTGTTTTTATTATTATTGATCAATATATATATATTTTCTGTAAGTGAAGTGTCTTGTTTTTTGTTTTTGTGTTTTCTATGCATATGCGTATCGTTCATAATACACTAAATATATTGTGAGATCTTCTGATCTCATCAATGTCATCTTGAAATGCATTACTTCTATCGTCCCTTTTATTCGTTGCAATAGTATGCGCGGTAGATATCTCCCGGCAAGACAGGGTCGTTTTCGGACTCGTACATGTAATACTACATAACGTTTTTGCATTCGTCCATACAATTTCTGCAAACGCTTGTATAGGACTTTGATTCTCAACACTACATGAGGAGAATTCTTCATCCTTCTAAATTATAAAAATACAAAATGGCGAATGCAGTAGTTTTTGTTCTATTTTTGATGTTTTAGGACATAGGCCTCTCTCTATATTGGCTTACTTATCTGCCCTTTTTACATATTTATTCATGTGTATTTATTCCCCTCACTGCATTAATCGTATCTTTTGCTAGTTACTTTTTTATACGATATTCTGTTAGTGAGGGGGTGAGGCTGAGTGCTTTACTCGCTTTATTCGTTGCAATAGTACACAGTGGTTATATCCTGGTGCAATACGCTCATGCAACACTCCTGGATATGTCCATCTAATTTCTACAGTCGTTCGTATAGAACTACCTCTTTGATCCTAACGTCCCGTGCGGAGAGTCTTCTACCTTCTAAATTTCTAATATTCTTGTATTTCTAAGGTGAGATAGTGAATGCATTAGTTTTTCTCTTCTTTTATTTTTCTTTTAATGTTTCTGAGTGTAGATCTCTTTCTATATGGTATACTTATCTGCCATTTTATATATTTATTTATTTTCTATTTTTGATTTATTTTTGATTTTTTCATCATTATGTTTATTGTATCTTTTACTGGTCGCTTTTTAATGAGATATTCCGTTAGTGGGAGGGTGGGGGGTGAGGATGTGAGGGTGAATCAGTTGCTTGTATCACTCCTTTTATTCCTGGCATTAGTAGACACGGTGTTTATTTCTTCGTATAATACGCTTATGTAAGGTTAATGGACACTTTTTTTGCATTTATTCATATATTTTTTGCAGTTGTCCGTATGAGACTCTTTGTTTAATTTTTATAATGTCACGCGGAGAGTTTCTTATCCATTTAAATTGTAAATGTGAGCTGGTGAATGCAGTAGTGATGTTTCTGGGTATGAATCTCTGTCTATATGCGCATACCTATCTGCGTTTTTTTACATATTCATTTATTTTTTATATATTTCCTTTATTTGTATTCTTTCATCGTTACGTTTATTATATATTTCGCTGTTCGTTTTTTTATGAGATATTCTGTTAGTGAGGGTGCGATGCGGTACGCATAGGTTGGTGTGATGTATTGTAGAGGTGTGTCTTTGAAATAAACTCGGTATAATTCGTGAAAGCGTTTACTGAATTTCTTTGTAAATTCGGTATATGTAAAATGAGTGAGAACGTTCTCTTGGGGCTTAATCGCTTTTTGTATCTTGTTTTTTTGCAAATATCCTTCTAATCTAAGATTCTTGCGTACATCGTTGTAATTTCTGTAGAGTTCATTCCAGTGTAGAATGTTAATGTTCCTAAGTAACCTCTTCAATTGGCTATCTATAAAAGGTGGTGGGTACTTGTTCAATAATAGTCGAATTCTTATTTTATTTTTTTCTTCTTTGAAATCATCTACCTCTGAACATATATGTATCGCTCTTACTATCGCTTCATACGGTATATTCTTTTTGATGTGTTTTGGATGCTTACTGTCGTATGGGAGATAGTACGGTTGCGCTACTGGCTTCTGATATACTTTTGTTTTTAGCACTCCTCCTTCAATGGTGGCTCCAACATCTAGGTAATAGACTGTTTTTCCTATTTCATAAGTTAGTCCGATAGCTGGATCTTATTGGTTAAGGTCGGTAAGTGATCTTTCTATCTGTTCCTTCGTCCATGACGACGTCACGAAGCAATCACCAATGTATCTCATATATATCTCATTTTCTGCTCGTACTAGTTCTCGAATTCCCATATTCCCATATTTTTATGCATGCGTTAGCTGCTGTTGACGTTAAAGAACTACCCATCGCTCCGCCTTTTATTTGACGGTAAAATCTTCCTTCGAACTAGAAATACTTATTTTTCATAACAAATCTTGTTAATTTCGCTATTGTTCTTAATTCTAATCCATCTATTCTATCATATCCTGCTGCCCTAACCAAGGTTAATAATGCTTGTACTGCACTTTCTTGTGGTATCATCGTATAAACATGGAATTCCCAATTTCGGATGGGACTATGCACCTTGTCAAACGGATGTTCGATTTCTAATGTTTTGCCATTTGTTTTTACAATTTTGAGTTTTTGTATTATTTTAACCCATGAGCAATACGAATGTCTACTGGAATCATACGTTTCATTAACGTCAGGTGCGTCTGGCTGAAACATTTTACGAGCGAAATATTTTTCTTCTTGTGAAGGAATTGTGACGTTAATAACTTCATTAAATTTGTTCTCGTTTGGTCTGCCAAGATAGTATACACTGCATTGTACAGCGTCATTTGTATAATTTTTCACAAAACATGAATAAACGTGTGCTGATGCAGGTGGCATGACAAATTTTGAAGATTCGAGCTGATTTTCTTGTTTACAATCCGACATGGTTGATTATATAAATCTAAAATGAGAGAAGAAAAAAGGAGAATTTAGTAAGGCGCGGGTAAATCAAAGTTTCAGCAGTTCTTGTTTTTAACTTAAACTTACATCTCAGGAATCGCTATTTGACGCTGATCACGAATATGTCCTTCTTTTTTAGTTTAGACAAAGTTTTGACAGAGAAAAACACAAAATACTGGAAGGGTCTAAAAATCCGCAAAAAACCTGCTTATCGAAAAATTATGTTTCATTTTTCATGCTGCCTGATATCATTTTTGGATTCCTCATATAAAAATGGATCTAGAAATGTTATCTAGAGTCTGATAGCATGTCGTGTATTCGATCTGAAAATCGACGCGACAGGA